CAAGGAAGTCTTGCAAAAAAATCGTAATTTTTTTATGGATATGGATATGCCTTATCGTAATAACGTCTCTTTGGACCAAATCCGTTTCAGGACATTTGAAGTCGATCTAGCGATGTCTGATTGTCGGTCCGTCTGTCTGTCTGGCTGGCTGTTGCGCACGATAACTCTCGATTTAGTCCAAACCGGGTACATCGTAATATTATTATCAAACTTATATCGAGTTCGGAGATGGGCAATATCGGTTCACCCCTTCTGGAAAATGTCGAAATTTTCAAAGAAAATATTTTATTGCACAGAAAGAGAAAGGATGATCATATTTTGCTCAACTTTTCAAATCCCAATATTTGCATCAGTGCTAGGTCAATATCGGTCCACCACATCAAGTACATTCCCCTCAAAGGGTCAAAATTTGGAATAAATATAGCTCTTATAAAAGTAAACATCCGATTCCATTCAGACTTGGCAAATCCCAATATTTTTATTAACCCAAGGTCTGGCGATAAAAAAGAATATATCGGTCCACTTCTTCTGGTACCTCCCTCCCCCCCCAAAAGGTCGAAATTTTCAAAAAAAAATATTTTCTGCACAGAAAGAGAAACGATAATCCGATTTTGCTCCAACTTTGCAAATCCTAATATTTGCGTCAGTGCTACGTCAGTGGCGAAAATGGACAATATCGGTCCAGTCCATCAAGTACCTCCCCCACAGAGGGTCAAAGTTTTAAATAATTGCAACTCTTATAAAATGTGATGTAAGAGACCGATTGTTTTCAAATTTCACACCTCCCATTATTTCTACTATCACAAGGTCTGCTGTGAAGATGGAATATATTAGTCTACCCACCACCCCCCACCAAGGGTCAAAATTTTGAATTTTCATGAAGCCCACAAAACACGAAATTAACATCCGATTCCATTCAGGCTTGGCACATCTCAATATTTCCATCAACACATAATCTATTACAAAGATGGTGGAGATCGGATCATTCCTTCTGATACCTCCCCCACAAAGGGTCAACGTTTTGAATAACCAAAAATATTAAAAAGTTCAAAATATCCCTTTATTTCTACTAACACAAGATCTGCATTGAAAAAGGGATATATCGGCACACTCTTTCTGGTACTCCACAAAGGACTCAAAATTAAAAAAAAAAAAACAAAAGGCTCGTATAACTCGAAATATCTTCAAATTTCACACATCCAAACATTTTTGCTAATGCAAAATCTGTTGTGAAGATGATAGATATCTGCCAACCCGTTCCGGTAGCTCAACCACAAAGGGTCACAATTTCCAATTTCCTATAGCTGGAGGACTTCTAGCCGTTATTTTTTATTTGCCTTTTAGAGGTCTTGCCTAAAGGACCTTCCAAATGTCCACCATGGCTAGAGGACCTGTTAGGGGGTTTTTCTATGGCCGGAGGACCTTCTAGACGTTTTCTATGACCAGGGGACTTCTTTTATATGTCTTTTATAGCTAGACGGTGTTTTAAAGGCCTGCTATGGCTATAGAACTTTTTTTTGTCGTCTTCTATGTCTAGAGGAATTTTTTACAGATTTTTTATGCCAAGAGGACCTTTCATAATTTTTCCATGGGTTACAGACTACAGCTCTTTTCACACGTCTTCTGTGGCAAGAGGACCTTTCACAGATAGCCTTTTAGAGGCCTTCAATGTCTAGAGGACCTTCTAGAAGTTTTCTATGACCAGGTGACTTTTTTATATCTCTTCTATGGCTATAGAACTTTTTAGGCGTCTTCTATGCCTAGAGAAATGTATACAGGTCTCATGTGGCAAGAAGACCTTTCACAGTTTTTTCATAGCTGGAGGACGTTTTTCACGTGTTGCATGGCCCTTTTCACACGACTTCTGTGACAAGAGGACCATTCACAAGGCTTCTATAGCTGGAGGACTTCTTTCGGGTCTTTTGTGACCTTTTAGAGGTATTTTGTGGCTAAAAGACATTTCACACGTCCACCATGGCTAGAGTACCTATTAGTGGTTAACTGTGGCCGGAGGACCATTCACACAACTTGCATGGTAAGATAGCAGTTTTCTATGACCAGGGTTTTTTATAGGTATTCTATAGCTAGAGGGCATTTTAAAGGGTATTTCTGTGGCTACAAGAATTACTATAGGTCTTGTGTGGCAGCAGGACCTTTCACAGTTTTCCATAGCTGGGGGACCTTAAACAAGCGTTGCATGTCTTAAGCTCCTTTCACAGGTCTTCAGTGGCAGGAGGACCTTTCACAGCTCTTCTATAGCTAAAGCACCTCTTACGAGTCTTTTGTGACCTTTTAGAGATCGTTTATGGCTATAGGACATTCCACATGCCCACCATGGCTGGAGGACCTATTAGTGGTTTTCTCTGGCCGGAGGACTTTTCACATGTCTTACATGGTAAGTTAGCCATAAGTCTTCAATGTCTAGAGGACCTTCTAGAAGTTTTCTATAGGTTCTATATAGCTATAGGCCTTTTTAGACGTCTTCTATGCCTAGAGAAAATTTGTACATATTTTTTTGTGACAAGAGGACCTTTCACAGTTTTTTTTTTATAGTGGCAAGAGCTCTTATCACACATCTTCTGTGGCAAGAGGACCTTTCACACGTGTTCCATGACTAGATGTCTTCAATGGCTAGAGGACCTACTAGAAGTTATCTATGGTCAGGACACTTTTTATAGGTCTTCTATGCTGGAGGGTGTTTTTAAGGTTTCTTTTTATGGCTACATAACTTTTTAGACGTCTTCCATGTCTATTGACATTTTTTACAGGTCTTTTGTGGCAAGAGGACCTTTCACAGTTCTTCCATAGCTGGGGGACCTCTTACAGGCGCTGCATGGCTAGAGCTGCTTTTGCGTGTCTTCCATGGCAGGAAAACTTTTTAGAGGTCTGCTATGGCTAGAGGACCTTCTAGAGGTCTCCTATGACCAGGGGAATTTTTGCAAGGCCTTTTATAGCTTGTGGACCTATAATACGTCTCGAGGACTCCTCATAGGTCTTACTCGGTTAGGGGACCCTTTAGGTATTTTCTTTGGCTAGAGGACGACCTATCATGGCTAAAGGACTTTTCAATTACTTACATGGTAAGATAGCCTTTTAGAGGTCTTCAATGTCTAGAGGACCTTCTAGAATTTTTCTATGATCAGGGGACTTTACATAGGTCATCTATGGCTATGGAACTTTTTAGATGTCTTCTGGCTTAGAGGAATTTTTATAGGTCTTTTGTGTCAAGAGGATCTTTCACAGTTCTTCCATAGCTTGGGGACCTTTTACAGGCGCTGCATGGCTAGAGCTCCTTTTACATGCCTTCCATGGCAGGAGAACCTGTTAGAGGCATGCTATGGCTAGAGGACCTTCTGTGGTCAGTGTAATTTTTGCAAGGTCTTTTATAGGTTTAGACCTATTAGATGTTTCGAAGACTTCTTTCTCATAGGCCTTCCTTGGCTAGGGAACCTTTCAGGTGTCTTCCATGGTTAGGCGGCGTTTTATCGGTCCTGGGGCGGCACTTTTTACAGGTCTTTTACGATTTGAAGCACCTTTCTATGAAGATAGCTGGACTTTATAGGAAAGAACGTGTTGTTGTTTCTTGCTATTTTTATGTTGTTGATGTCCTTCGAAGGCCATCCTCAAAATAACAAATTGGGGGGTCTTTTCGGAGGTATTTAATTACTTCAAAAATATCCTTGAAAAACCATGCTTGTAGGTCTGTTGTTCCTTTAAAAAATATGTCTTTGGAGGTATTTATACCAATCGAAAAATTCTTGTAAAAATATGGCAGGATCGCATTTTACAGGTCTTATGTTGCTGGAAAATGTTTGTGACCTTTAAGGGGTATTTTGTGGCTAACTGACTTTTTACACGTCTTCTGTGGCTAGAGGACGACCTAGTAGCGCTATTTTATGGCTAAAGAACCATTCACACGACTTTCACAGGGCTTCTAATGCTGGAGGACCTCTTACCGTTCTTTTGTGTGCTTTTAGAAGTCTCTTATGGCTAAAGTATCTTTCGCGCCTCCACCATGGCTAGAGAACCTATTAGCGATTTTCTATGAAGGCAGGAGGTCCATTCACATGACTTACATGTTAAAACAGCCTTTTATTGTTCTTCAATGCATAAAGGAGGTCTTCTATAGCTAGGGGGTGTTTTTAAGATCTTCTATGGCTACATAACTTTTTAGACGTCTTCTATGGCTATAGGAATTTTCACAGTTTTTCCAAAGCTGTAGGGAATTTTTACAGGCGCAGCATGTCTTGAGCTCCTTTCACAGGGCTTCAGTGGTAGAGGGACCTTTCGCAGGTCTTCTATAGGTGGATCATTTCTTACGGGTGACTTTTGTGAACTTTTAGATGTGTTTTGTTGCTAAAGGACCTTTCACGCGTCTTCCGTGGCTAGAGGACCTATTAGAGGTTTCCTATGGCCGGAGACCTTTCACACGTCTTACATGGTCAGATAGCCTACTATAGGTCTTCAATGTCTAGAGGACCCACTTAGAAGTGTTCAATGATCTACGGATTTTTATGACCATATTCATGTCCGTAGTTTACGTTCCGGGAAATTATTTAAAAAATCCAAGCCATCCAATTCCTTCAAATAAATATGTGTCAATTGTTAAACATGTGTTTTTATTAAAGTCCGTTGTTATTCTGTTAAGGTAGTTTAACATTTTGTCCCAAAATTGTGACATATGGACCAGCTATGTTACACATGCAGATATACGTTTATTTTAGCAGTGCCTACACACGGTGGGAAACTTGGCTAGAAAACGGAAAAATATCCCAACCGGTTTAACAGTCACAAAATATTTCCCTCTTACATTTATAACTACGGGGTTCGTGTCCAAACTACTTGAACATATTTGCTTTAATCGAAGCCACCAACCACCTACTATAATATATTGCGTACAGTACTCAAATATTTCCCTCGATATTTTACATTCTGTTAGTTAACATTTTTCACAACTTCAAACTAATAACTGTAATTATTTATTTTTTCTCTACTTCCAGTCGTACACCCGGCTCACGCCAACCCTCACCAGCCGAAGAGACCCTACCACGTCAACCAACTCTACTCGATCCCTCACAACATCCAGCATTTCCACCACATGCTTTCAATCACATGTTGGGCGCCGCCGGCATGGATCATCCCGGCAATTCTTCCGGAAATTCCGCAGTCGGTGGTCCCGGTGGCCAGGGTCAACAGATGAATTCGTCGTTTCCCCATCATCAAATGCCGCAAATGAATCAGCTACAGCCACCGGTTATGAACGGTGTGGGTGGTATGCAGATGGCACAGGTAAGTTGCGATTTTTTGAAGGCTGTGGATATTGAGTCATATTGGGGTATTATTTTTTCTTACAGAGTCCCATGATGAATCATCAAGGTCAACAAGGTCCCAATCAAATGGAATCACCCGGAAATCTATTGCAGCAACAGCCTCCTAATTTTGATGTACAGGTGAGTACAAGGACCTTCGATTTTTAATTGGATCTAAAAATTAAGGGGGATTGAAGGGGGGAGTCTTTAACCTTTCAGAGTTTTTTTGGTAGGCAGTGCAGTTTTAATTCGTTATCTTCAAATGGGCTTCCTATAGGTGTGAGAACCTATAACGACATTCTATGATACCTTTTAGGGTCTTTCCTAGTTATAGGAGTTCTATGGCTGGAGGACCGTTTAATTTAAAGAACTTTGGCAAATTTTTATGACTTGAAGATATTTTTAACGTCTCCTATGGCTAGAGAACCGATGACCTGCTTTCTGTGGCTAGAGGACTTTTTAAAAGTTTTTTATGTCTGGAAAAATTTTTAGAGGTTTTCTATTGAGAGAGGAATTTTCACATGTCTCTTGTGGCAAGAGGAACTTTCTCGGTTCTTTATTAGCTAAAGGACCTTTTCTGGGTTTCCATAGCTGCAGAAGCGTGATCTGTGATCTTTCAGAGGCCCTCTATGGCTAAACAACCTTTCACACGTGTTTCATGGCTAGAGAACAGTTAAGGGTTCTTCTATGGCGGTCGCCTTTCACACGGCTTCCATGGCTAGATAGTCATATAGAGCAATTCAATGGCTATATAGGCATTTAGAAGTATTTTGAGGGCTAGAGGAACCCCTAGAAGTTTTCTGTGGCCAGCTGGAGGGTGTTATATGGCTATAACACTTTTTAGGAGTCAATACGCCTAGAGGGCCTGTGGCACGAGGACCTTTCAGAGTGTTTTCCATAGCTGGAGCTGGGCGTTTTACAGCTCTTACATGGCTCGAGCTCTTTTTTTACATGTTTTCAGTGGCAGGAGAACCTTTTAGAGGTCTGCTATGGCAATATTAAGTCCTCTATGGACAGGGGATTTTTTTGCAGATTGCTAGAGAACATATAAGATGTCTTGAGGACTTCTCATTACTCTTCCTTAGCTAGAGATCCTTTCACACGTCTTTTATGACCTTTAAGGGTTCTTCTATGACCGATCGTCTTTCACACGTCTTCCATGGCTAGATAGGCATATACAACTATTCAATGGCTAGATAGTCATTTAGTGGTATTAATGGCTAGAGGACCCTCTAGAAGTTTTCGGTGGCCAGGTGACTTTTTATAGATCTTCTATGCCTAGAGGAATGTTTGCAGGTCTTTTGTGGCAAGAGGACTTTCCACACTTCTTCCATAGCTGCAGAACTGTTCATAGTTCTTGCATGGTTAAAGGTCTTTTTACAGATGTTCTGTGGCATTTTAGAGGTCTTTTATGGCTAAATGACATTTTACACGTTCACCATGGCTATAGGAGCTATTAGGGATTTTCTATTCATTGGCTAGATAGTCATTTAGTGGTATTAATGGCTAGAGGACCCTCTAGAAGTTTTCGGTGGCCAGGTGACTTTTTATTGGTCTTCTATGCCTAAAGGAATTTTTACAGGTCTTTTATGGCAAGAGGACCTTTCACACTTCTTCCATAGCTGCAAAGGCGTTCATAGGTCTCGCATCGCTAGAGGTCTTTTTACAGGTCTCCTTTGACCTTTTACAGGTCTTTTATGGCTAAATGACATTTTACAAGTTCACCATGGCTACAAGAGCTATTAGAAATTTTGTATGGCCGGAGGAGCTTTTACACCTCTTACATAGCCAGATAGCTTTTTAGAGGTCCTTTAAAAACCAGATAATCTTCAAGAACTCTTTTATGGTAACGGGACTTCTTACAGGTCTTCCATAGCTATAGCATCTTTCTCATCTCACCATGGCTACAGGAACTATTAGGGTTTTTCTATGGCCGAAGGACCTTTCACACCTCTTACATAGCCAGATAGCTTTTTAGAGTCCTTCAAAAACCAGATAACCTTCTAGAACTCTACTATAGCCACTGGACTTTTTACAGGTCTAGCGTCTTGTAGATGTAACAAGGACTTCTCGCATTTCTTCCTAGGCTATTTGGCCTTTTAGGGGGTTTCCATGCTTAGATGTCTTTTGACGGGTCTCTATGGCTGGAACTCTTTTTATAGGTTTTCTATGACTCAAGAACTTTTTGTAGGCTTTCCATGGCTAGAGGACCTTTTAGGATTTTCTGTGGCACATTTGAGAGGTATTTCATGGCTAAAGGTCCTTTTACAAGTCTTCTGTAGACCGAAGTCTTTTTCTATGGCTAGAGGATTTTTACGGATTAGAAAGATCTAAGATTTCGAATTGAGTCTAAGATTTGGGGGTATTCAAGGGAAGTAATTTCAAGACGCCATGGTTTATGTGTGGGATTATAAGAGAAAAATAATTTTATTGGTTCTGTGAGTAGGCAGTGCAATTTGAAGCTAATTGAAGTCTTTGCAGGACTTCTCATGGGTATAAGACCCCAAAAAATCTTTCTATGCATAAATATAACAATTTGAGGACTTCCATCGTCCTAGACGTCTTCTATGGATTTTAGTTTAAGGACCTTTGCAGGTCGTTTATGAGTAGAAGTTATTTTGAAGGTCTTCTATGGCTAGCGGGTTTTTTCACAGGTATCTCAGCGCTAGCTAACGCACTTTTTAGAGGTCTTCCATAGCTGGAGAACTTTTCACAGGTCTTCTATGACCCAAGATAACTTTTTAGACGTTTTTTATGCCTAGAAGAATTAACAGGCAAGAGGACCTTCCACAGTTTTTCCATAGCTGGTAGACCTTTCAACAGGCGTTGCATGGTTAGAGCTCCTTTCACATGTCTTCTGTGGCAGTAGGAACTTCTTATGTCTTATGCTGCTGGATGACCTCTTACGGATCTTTTGCGACCTTTTAGAGACTTTTTGTGGCTAAAGGACCATTCACACTTCTCCCATAGCGATGTGGACTTTTTTTATAAGTCTTCTATAGCTAGAGAGGGTTTCAAAGACGTCTTCAATGCTCTGAGTATTTTTTACGCGACTTTTGTGGCAAGTGGACCTTTCAAGGTTTTTCCATAGCTTTTTTTACAAGTCTTGCATGGCTAGAGCACTTTTTACATATCTCCCATGGCAGGAGAATCCTTTAGAGGTCTTTTATTGCTGGAGGACCTCTTACGGGTGTTTTGTGTCATTTTTAGAGGTATTTTATGGCTAAAGGACATTTCACACATCCACCATGTCTAGAGTACTTATCCAATGTCCGGAGGACCTTTCACACGTCTTACATACATGGTCAGATAGCCTTTTAGAAGTCTAGAGGAGCTTCTAGAAATTTTCTTTGACCAGCGGGTCTTCTAGAAGTCTTTTATGGCAGAGGACATTCTACAGGTCTTCTATAGCTACAGGAAATTTTAGATTTCTCGAAGACTTCTCATAGTTCTTCCTCGGTTAGAGAACCTATCTGCGGTATTTCATGGTCAGAGGTCCTCTACGGCTGGAGCATAGGTTTCTATAACTAGAAAACCTTCTACAGGTCTTCCATATCTAGAGGAACTTTTAAGATTTTCGGTGGCTAGATGATAACCTCTATGGATATGGTACATTTTCGAGCTTTCTTTCTACAGGTCTTCTATAGCTAGAGGACATTTTAGATGTCTCGAGGACCTCTCATAGGTCTTCCTCGGTTAGAGAACCTATCAGCGGTATTTCATGGTCAGAGGTCCTCTATGGCTGGATCACTTTTTACAGGTATTCTATAACTAGAGAACCTTCTGCAGGTCTTCCATGTCTAGAGGAACTTTTAAGATTTTCTGTGGCCAGAGTATCATTTCTTTGGCTATGGTACATTTTCGAGCTATTTCATGCCTAGAGGACCTTCTTTAGATCGCAGACTTCTTCTATGTCTAGACGATTTTTTTTTGGGGTTTTCATAGCTAAAGGACCTTATACGGATCTTCGATGGCTAAGCGCCCCTTTATAGATTTTTTATGATTGGATGACTTGTACAGTTTTTCTACAATTTGAGGATATATTACTGGCCTCCTATGGTATCTGATTGTCAACATAATTTGCCGCATCAGAACCGTTCATAGATCTTGCATGGCAAGAGGTTTTTAGACAGATCTTCTCTGACCTTTTAGAGGTCTTTTAGGATTATATGATACCACCATAGCTAGAGGAGCTATTGGGGTTTTTTTTAAGGCCGGAGGACCTTTCACACGTCTTACATAGCCAGAGAGCTTTTTAGAGGTCCTTCAATGTCCTGATAACTTCTAGAACTTTTCTGTGGCCAATAAACATCTGATTGTCAACATTGTTTGCCTAAAAGTATGCACCACACACGTATCGATTTAAATAAATTCATTCTCTCTCCTCCAAAAAATAAATTCAAGACCTAACACAAAAAATGTTTGAAATAAAAAAGAATCCACAGCTTATTAAGGACTTCACACATGTATTCGTATCTGTGCAAGTCCTTCCAACTTCAATTTGTACTTCCTGTCTAATTTGCCCTATGGCAGATACCAAGAAGAACGAAAAAAAACAACTTGCAAACATTTCTTGCTTTTATTGAATAATTTATATCCCTTTTTATGGAATATATTAATGGTCATTTGATTTCCTTGTGGAATTATCAAGCCGTCATGTCCCGTTCTACACATGGTTTGGATGGAGGGAAAGAAACCCTAAGACGGGTTAAGAGAGGAGAGGCATTTCTTTTGGTTTTCAATGTCCAATGCAATTTGTTGGCCGAAACAGTCCCTCCCAGCCGCAGCAGCAAAGGAAGAAGTGTTGAAAATTGTTTGTCTTGGAATTTTGTTGGCCATTAAAGCAATGCAGGGATGGGGAAATTGTTTCTTTCCCGCAAAAACTTGGGGGAATATTAAAATCTACTTTCCTCCCTACCTCCCTATAAGAATACATATGTGTGTGTGTGTGCCCATGCAATGTAATGGAATAAATTTCAGTAGTTGGATTTTTTTCACTGTCTCCTTTCTGGTTTTGTAATGAAATGCAGTCAATATTGCTCAAGTTTCATGTTCAATTCGCTTTCCATTTTTTCCGCTTTTTTTTTTGGTAGACATGTTGCCACTCAAAAACCACATGTGTGGAAAGTTTTGTCTATTTA